CAGTTCTGTTAAAGTCTGATTTATATATTTTGCATCTCTTTCATTGGGTTTGTAGATATTTATTATGTTTATATCCTCTTGTTCAATCAGTCCTTTAATCATTATATAATGTCCTTCATTGTCTCTTAAGGTCGTTTTTGTCTTAAAGTCAATTTTATCAGAAATTAATATTGTCACTCCTACTGTTTTTTTGATTGCCATTTGCTTAGTATATCTTTCTCCAGCTTTTGATTTGAAGTCTGTTTTTGTCTTCGTCTCTAAGGTATGTCTCTTGTAGACAGCATATTGATGGGTTATGTTTTCTTATTGAGTCTGCAACACTCTGTCTCTTGAATGGTGCATTTAATCCATTGACACTCAATGTAATTATTGACAGTTACGAATTTGTTGCTGTCACTTTGTTATGTGTTTTTTTGTAGTGCTGCTGATTTCTTTGTTCCATATAGTTTTCTGTGCTAAGTTCATTTTTATGAATCATGTTATCATTTCCTTTGTTACTTTTGCATTTGCTAAATATTTGTGCTTGTTTTCTTTTTTATATTGATATGAAGGTTTATTATTTTTCTTTGAGGTTACCCTGTGATCTATAGTTTTCTTCCCAAGTTTACAACAGTCCATTCTATCTTGAAATTGTCTTGACATCCTCACCATTTACAAGGTTCTGTAACTACAATATTTTTTTCCCCTCTTTTTGGTTTGTAGTTGTCTTCATTTGCCAATTGATGTCTCTGGTTTGCTTGGGCCTTTTTTTGTTTGTATCTGTCGGCAGTCCCATATCGTAGGCTTTTCCAGCACTCTGTCTGGGATATAGGGGAGGCAAAAAGGAAAGCCAGGCAAATTGCCACCATGTTGTTTCTCAGTCTTAAGGTTCCTAAGCAGTCCATCTTGTTTTCTCCATCTTTCACAATCTTCCTATGTTTTCTTGTTGTATTATGTCCAGGGATTTTAATTTTGAACAGAACTAGGCAAGGAACAAGGTTACTTTATCTTGGCTAGAACCAGAAGTTCTGCCACTGTGCTTTTTCCCTCCTTTCCACATGGTATACTTTTATTGGTTTTTCTTATCTTATTATACTGTATAAAGAACTCTGGTGGTGTAGTGGTTAAGGCATTTGGCTGCTAACAAAAAGGTTGGTGGTTCAAACCCACCAGGTACTTCATGGAAAGCAGTTGCTTCTATGAAGAGTTATAGGCTTGGAAACCCTATGGGGTCCTATGAGTCAGAATTGACTTGATGGCAGTGAGTTTGGTTTTGGTTATTATACTCTGTAAGACCTCTAATTCGTTAGGAATAGAAGTGGTGATGGTAGATATTCTTAGCTCATTTATGATTTCCACATGAAAACTTTAATAATTCATCAGTGCTTTAAAAAAAGAAAAAAGGAATTTTTACATCTTCTTAAGAAAAATTGGTCTGTGATTTTCCTTTCTTGTAATGTCCTAGTCAGATTTGTGGTCAACTTTATGATGGTCTGATAAGCTAAATTGGAAAGTATTCCTTCTTTTTCTAATCTTTTGAAAAATTTGTGAAAGAACAAGGTCATTCATCCTTAATCGTTTACAAGAATTCACCAGGAAGCCATGTGAGCTTGACATTGTCTTTGCTGGGCTTTGCTTATAATTATGGATTCAATTTATTTAATTTTATGAGACCATTCAGATTTTTTCTCCTTATGTCAGTTTTGGCAGATTGACTTTTACTAGCAATAATATTTTTCTTAATAATCTCCTTTTTTTTTTTTTTTTTCCATTTCTGTCAAATGTGTAATAATGTTCCCTTTGCAATTTTTTTTTTTGTTGTTGTTTTTAATCTCTCTCTTTAAGAACCAACTTTTGGCTTTGTTGATATTCTCTGGACTGTACTTTTTTTTCATTTCTTGATTTTCTTTTGATCATTATTATATTCTTTGCTTTCCTTCAGTTTAATTTACTGTTATTTTTCTAACATTTTGAGATTGATGCTTAGATTTATTTATACTTTTAATATTTCCTCTTAAGCTTTCTAGCATGAAGGTTGTAGATAACATAGAAAGGCCACTGATTGTATACTAGCCTATTCCTCATATCTATACTACTGCCTTCAGTATGGATTACACCACAAGAAAAAAAAGTCCTCACAACTGCACCAATAAGCAACATCATGATATATGCAGAAAATATTGAAGTTCTCAAGGATTTCATTTTACTTGGGTCTATAATCAATGCCTGGGGACACAGCAATCAAAATATCAGATGACATATTGTATTGGCCAAACTTGTAAAAGCAAAAACTTTTATAAAGAGTTCAAAAGCAAAAATGTCATTTTGAGAACTAAGGTGCACCAGACCCAACCCATGGTATTTTCAATCACCTCATAAGCACGTGAAAGCTGAACAATGAGTAAGGAAGACTGAAGAAGAATTGATTCCTTTGAATTATGATGTTGGTGAAGAATATTAACTATACTTTGGACTACCAGAAGAATGAACAAATCGGTCTTGGAAGATGTATAGCCAGAATGGTACTTAGAAGCGAGGATTGTGAGACTTTGTCTCCAGTATTTTGGGCATGTTATCAAGAGGGACCAGTCCCTGGAGAAGGACATCATGCTTGGTAAAGTAGAAGGTCAGCAAAAAATAGAAAGACCCTCCACAAGATGGATCGATGCAGTGACTGCAACAAACTCAAAAACAGCAACAGTCATGGGGACGGTGCAGCACTGAGCAGTGTTTCATTCTGTAAGGTCACTGTGGGTTGGAACCAATTCAGTGGCACCTAAGCAGTAACAACAATGCCTCGTATCAGTGATACCATAAAGAATGTTTTGTGTAAGTAGGTTAAAAAAAAAAAAAGATTCTTTGTCCCCCTATGAAGTGCTATAAGCCATGGTTTTCACCATTAGTCAAAGACAAGTTAATAGGTTTGGTCTGTGTAGCTTTTTTTTTAAATAGTTCTGTTAAAGATTTTTACATCATAAAGAAAAGTAGGATTTGCAGGCTGTTGTAAAGATTTTGTATAAGTTCTGCACTGAATATAGTGTGAGCCATTGCAGAGTTTTGAGCAGAGGAAGGATATGATCTTACTTAGACTTCAAAAAGATCCCCTGGAATTCAGTTAACTGTTTATTGCAATAAACCAGGGGAGAAATTATGGGTGGAAGCAGTGGAGAGATGAGAAAATGTAGGCAATAGAATTTGCTATTGAATGGATTCGATATATGGTATGAGAAAGAGAAGACTAAAAGATGACTACAAGCTTTGTTTTTATGCTTGTTTGTTTGTAAGCAACTGGAAGGATGACGTTACCATCAACTGAGATGGGAAGGGCTACAGGACAGGCAGATATGAGGAGAGGATACCAACCGTTCCAGTGATGGGCATGTTGAGTTTGAGATGGAGCCTAAGCAAGGAATTTGTGATTTGTGAGTAGTCAGCAAATAAATGTTTAAGAGCATAGGTTTGATTGAAGTCACAAAAGAAGTAAATGTAAATAGAGAAGACCAAGCATTATGGTCTGGGGCACTCCAAAAGTAAAGGATCAAGCCTTTTGTGAGGAACCAGTAAAAGAGACCATGAAGGAATGATTTTCTGAGGTAAAAGAAAAACCAGGTGGAGAAGAAGAGCATAATCACAAGTGTCAGATTTTTCTCATCAAATAAGATGACAACAGAGAATAAACAATTGGATTTTGTAATGTGGGTGCCATTGATAGTTGGAATGGGTTTAAGAAACAGTGAGAGGAACAGCAGTTATAGACAACTCATTCAAGAAATTTTACTGCATACAGTACAAAGAAATAGGATAGTAGCTGATGGAAAAGTAAGGTCTAGAGAAGTTTGTTCGTTTGCCAAGATGGGAGAAATACATCTACTCCTCACTATCAACTCTCTTGTTATCTTGATGTTTCATATTTATGACAATAGTAAAAAATATACTTTTCAACTATTTTGCACATTAATGACATATGTCTGGCAGTAACAAATGCCAAGGTATTATATGTCAGTGTGGCTGGGCCATGATTCTCAGTGTTTTGGTAGTTATATATTGATGTAATTTGGCAGTTATGTAATGATATATAGTCATACATTGTTTTATTGCACTTTGCTTTATTGTGCTTTGCAGATACTGGATTTTTTTTTTTTTTTTAATTGAAACTCTGTGGCAACCCTGTGTTGAGCAAGTTTGTTGATGCATTTTTCCAACACTGTGTGCTTACTTTGTGTCTCTATGTCACCATTTGGTAATTCTCACAGTATTTCAAACTTTTTCATAATACTATTGCACATTAAGTAGAGTTTAAAAAAAAAAACCCACTGCCATTGAGTCAGTTCCAACTTATAGTGACCCCCATTGGGTTTCCAAGTGGTAAATCGTTATGGGAGTAGCTTGCCCTGTCTTCCTTCCATGGTAGACTATAGTATAATGTAAAGATAACTTTTATTTGTTCTGGGAAACAAAAAAATTCATGTGACTTGCTTTATTGCAGAACTTGTTTTATTGTGGTAGTCTGGAGCCAAACCCACAATATCTCCGAGATACGCCTTAATTTGGCAGTTACATAATGATGCATTCGTCCTTCTTTTTGCAATCTGATGTGGTCATCCTCAATTTTTGTATAACGCTGATTTTTGCACAATGACCTGGTCCTTGCAACTAACCACTTTGATAAGTGACGAGTGGTGTAATAGTATTTTTTATGAGTCATGCAATGGTGAGCAAGAACTTGATGACATAGAAAAGAGGAGAGAATTAATGAAGCAGTGTTCTTCAGTAGGTAAGAGGATATGGGATCTAATGCATAAATGTTCTGCAGAGACAATATATACTGGGAAACAGACTGATTGTACATACGTACCACATGTCTGCATCTACTCTGGAAAAATGAATGAGAACTCACCAGGAGAGAATGATCTATAGAATTTTGTAGACTCTGCCTTTATTGATGTTTAGGGAAGTAATTTCTAAATAAATCTCTAAATTTTGCCATTCTTCTGTTTGATTGTTTCCATTTTTTGTTTCAGTTGCTGATCGTTGGAGGCTCTTTTGGTCTTCGTGAGTTTTCACAAATTCGCTATGATGCTGTGAAGATTAAAGTAAGAACTCTACTTGGAGTTTAACATGTGTCTATATGTATGCCCTGGTTTAGGGGAAGTGTATACTCAGTATACTAAGCAGTCTGAATTTTGTATTTCTTTTCAAGGCTAATATATAATCTTTGGGCTGTTTCTTCTTCTTTAAAATAACATTAACAATGGCATGGAATTGAATCATGTGATGTAAAGAATTTAGTAATCTTACTCCTTACTTACTGGGAAATTTGTAATATGGTTAAATTTCTTCCACAAAATATGTTTTGGTACAGTTTTTAGGATTTGTTGCTATTGTTGTTGTTGTTAGTTGACGTCGCATTATCTCCAACTCATAGTGACCCTGTTTATGACAGAACAAAACACTGCCTGGTCCTGTGCCAGCCTCAGAATCCTTGCTATACCTGAGCCCATCGTTGTAGCCACTGTGTCAGTCCATCTCATTGAGGGCTTTCACCTTTTTCATTGATCCTCCACTTTACCAAGCATGATATCCTCCAGAGAATGGTCCCTTCTGCAACATGACCAAAGTAGGTAAGATGAAGTCTGGTCATTCTTGCTTCCAAGGAGTATTCTGGCTGCACTTCTTCCAGGACAGATTTATTAGTTCTTTTGGCAGTCCATGGTATTATCAGCATTCTTTGCCAGTACCACAACTCAAAACCATCAACTCTTCTTTGGTCTTCCTTATTGATTCTCCAGCTCTCACATGTATATGAGGTGATTAAAAATACCATGGCTTGGGTTAGGTGCACCTTAGTCTTCAAAGAGACTTCTTTGCTCTAGAGCACTTTAAAGAGGTCTTTTGCAGCAGATTTCCCCAGTGGAATAAATCGTCTGATATCTTGACTGCTGCTTCTATTGATGTTGATTGTGGAACCAAGTAATATAAAATCTTTGACAACTTTGATCTTTTCTCCATTTATCGTGATACTGCTTATTGGTCCAGTTTGAGGATTTTTGTCTTCTTTATTCTGAGGTGTAATCCATACATCTAATAATGTAATCCATTATTAGGTGCCATTAAGTCAGTTCTGACTCGTAGTGACCCTATATACAACAGAACAAAATGCTCCCCAGTACTACACCATCCTCATAATCATTACTATGTTTGAGGCCATTGTGGCAGCCACTGTGGCAGCCTAACTCGTTGAGGGTATTACTCTTTTTCATTGACCCTCTACTTTATCAGGTCCCTCCACCCCCCATCACTCACCGTACATCAAGCATTCCTAGCGTGTTTCAGGATACATGTGACACAGCAGGTCCCCTTCCCCACCACTGTGGAGTCTGTAGGGATTGGAGTTTGTAGAGGTGGTCAGGTATTGATGCTGCCTGTTGCCTCTGGCTGCCCACTGTGGGTGGAGACTCTCCTCATCCTCCACCTTCTAACTCCTGCCACCTGCTGTGGGTGGGGACCTCACTCATCCTCTATCATTTCTGGCTTTGCGTCTTCCCCTTCCCTTCTGCCTCTTCCCCCCAATTTGGTGACAGTTGAAAAATAAGGTAGACAGACAGAGGAGTATGAAAATGTTAGCTTTATTTATTTATTGTTTGACTTTTTATTGTGATTTGGGTGAAATTTTACAAAGCAGATTTGTTTTACATTCAACAGTTCATATACACATTTTTTTCCCCTCTCTCTCTCTCTCTTTTTTTTTTATTTGTGATTTGGATGAAAGTTTACAGAGCAAATTCACTTTCCATACAGCAGTTCACACACACGTTGTCTCATGACATTGACTACAATTTACCCCAATGCAACAGCTCCCCTCCCACTTCTTCCCAATAGTTACTTCTTCCCTGTGTCCATTCATCCATGCACTCTTGCTCCCTGAGCTGTTTCCCTGTGCAT